GCCAGCCTCTTCTCCGTGGTGCCCAGCAACAGGACAAGAGGCAATGGGCAGAAACTGAACCACAGGAAGTTCCATCTGAACCTGAGAAAACACTTCTTCACTGTGAGGGTGACAGAGCATTGGACCAGGTTGCCCAGAGAGGTAGTGGAGTCTCCTTCGCTGGAGATATTCAAAACCTGTCTGGACGCGATCCTGGGCAATATGCTGTAGAGGACCCTGCTTGAGCAGGGAGGTTGGACTAGATGATCTCCAGAGGTCCCTTCCAACCTAAACGATTCTGTGATTCTGTGATTCCTTGTGATCTCTGTGAGCGAAAGATAATAAAAAGGAGCCGTGGATTCTGTAACCTTCATTCTCTTTGCAGGTAATACAAAATAACAGTGTAGCAGCTGTGAAAAGATTTGTGCTGCTGCCCTCTATCTTGCAGACAGGCTAATAGAACAGATCAGGATGGCCAGCTCCTGACTTCAGTAACAAGGCTACAGAAAGAAGAAGAGCCCAAAAGACATTCCTGTGTGCCAGCCAATACTTCACAGATAGCAAGAGGCAGAGACTGGTTCAGGTCTGCCTTTATTCTCACCCTAAGTCTAGCAGCGTTCTGACACATCAGTTGTCCCCATATCAAATAGCTATGGCCTTTGCAAAATTGAAGCCTTCCATGAAAAAGCAGAAATGGTTGCACATGAGTGCAAACATAAGTGATCCCTTACTCAGAGCAGTCGTGGGTCTCATCTTCATTTTCCTGTTCCCATGCAATTTGTGTCTTTGGTACTAAGCATGGCAGGATTTCTTAGTGCTGCAGTCGTTCTCTCCAAAAAAATATGGACAGCTGAGAGGCAGAGATTAGGGTTGTACATAAGTGATCTTTCTTCAGGGTTTTTCCAAGTGAAAGTGCCTGACCAACGAGATCTGAAATACTGTAAGGCAGGAAATGGATTATGACTTTTCCCGTTTCCTCCAATTCTAAATAGGTCATTAGCAGACACTTAACGTAAAAAAGGATGTAATATCAGGTGGATTCTATTAGCAGCTTTTGAGTATCCGATAAAGGAAAAATTAATATTACCGTTTTGGTATATTTTATCATCAGTATCCCATTGTGCATATGTCTTTAATTTGCCAATCTATTTTGCCACTTTATAATCTCATCCTTAAGGGAACTGTATTACTTGCCCCGTCCCCCCCACCCCAAATCTACTCTAATGTGCAATTTGTTTTTAAAATCTTGTAAATCTTCAGCTGATGACTTGGATGGGGAACTTTTGTGAGCAATAATAAAAGCAGAAATTCCACTTCATAAGTGCAGATTCAATTGAGATAACTAAGCATGATCGTTTTAGTCTAATTTCCCTTACTAACATAAACCAAAGTTTGCTAGTGTAGTCATTGAGTAGACGCATAATGATATCAGGGCTAATGAACAAATTGTTCTCAGTCTACTCAGTATCTGTTGACCTTAGTCTTAGTTTGATGATTTGGGACTTCCTGCATTCTAGCCACCAGAAGCCTGCCAAAACAATGGAGAAAGCTCTTTCTTTAGCTTTAGCCTATATTGCTGAAATATCTTCTACACCAGTAAGTAGTCATTAAGACTTAACAGTTGACCATGTTTTAGTTTGGGAGGAAGATGTGGTGCTTGACAGCGTATAATGAGGGTTATCTGTGATAACACTGAAAATTGCAATAAAAAAATTCATGAGTTGTCAATAAATTGGAAGCCTAAGTCATTGTATTTGTTCAAATGTACATTTGTAAATTCCCGTTGTGGTGGGACTGACTTTTCTGACTTTTAAATCAAC